AGCGCTTGAAGGAGGAGGGAGGACGAGACGAGGATGGCTGGGGCACAGACTCGGCAGATCCGGCGGAGGAGCTACGGAGGCAGGTCGAGGGGCTGGAGAGGGAGGTACAGGAGCTACGGGAAGGGAAAGAGCAGGCGGAGGCTGCGCTTGGGGAGACGCGGACGAAGAGCAGGGACATGCTACGACAGATGAAAGCGCAGTATGCGGAGAAGATGTCGGGGCTAGAGAAGGAGGCGGAGGAGCTTCGAGAGGCAAAAAGGGGGCTGGAGGATCGCCTTCAGGAACTTGAGAAAGGCAGTGCTGGCGGTGGTTCCCAGGACGGGTCGACAGCTGGGTCAGACTCTCCAGCTGCTGTTGTTGATGGGGAGAGGATTTCACAGCTGGGAATGATGCTGGAGAGGGAGAAGGAGGATAAGATGCGGGCTGTGCAGAAGCTTCAGGAGCTCAACATGGCAAGGATGAAGCTGCAGGAAGAGCACGAGAAGCTGAAAGAGCAGCTCGAGGAGCTGAAGGTGAAGAGTTCGGAGGCAGATCCGACGGTAGCCAAGGGATCCTCATCACAGAACGAAAAGACAAGTGGAAAGCACGTGCTGAGGGAATGATTGTAGAGATTCGTAATCTCAAGCAAGAGCTGCAGCGCCTGCAAATGGAGAAGGACGCTGCGGACTCGGCGTCTCGCATTGAGATCGAGCAGGTCAAGGAGAAGTCGAAAGATTTTCTTAAGAAGGCTGTTGACTCCAAGAAAGTGCTAGAGAACAAGATCAAGGAGATGAAAGACAAGCAGCTTGCCTCAGATGCGTTGGTCACTGAACTGCAGAACACCATCCAAGGCCTTCAGATCCGTCTGGGGATCTTGAATCCCTCCGGAGACCCATTGCTCAGGCCTCTCGATGAAGAGCTCAGGTACACGCAGGAGAGGCTGGCGCAAGTCCAAGAGGAGTTTGAGAGATACAAAGTCCGGACGTCGGTCGTGCTGAAACAGCGCGCGCAAAGTTTCAGAGCAGCTTGCAAGGAGGCGGGGAGAAGGATGGGGCCCTGGAGGGAGTTGAAGAGAGGTCCTCGGAGCTGGTAAGGCTGACAGCTCGACTGGATGCCAGGACGAACGAGCTGGATAGAATGAAAAGTGACATGGAGGTGAAAATTTTGGGTTGTCCGTCTCGTTGCTGCGACTGAAGGGGCTGAGCAGGTGATGCGGAAAGGGAATGAGGAACTTCAACGAGAGAACAAGAGGCTTTCAGATCAGATCCAAAACCAGCAAGAACTGCACTCGGCTGAGGTCCAAGAACTTCAGAGACAGGTCAGAGAAAGGACGAAAGTTGAGGGGGTGACGTGTGACAGGTTGAGGTGCTTCGAACAGCCAAATCCCACGCTGAGAGTGCGATGAGAAAGGTTTGGAGACATGAATATTCTCCCTTGCGCCTCTTTCCTGAACCATGTCGAATCTGCTCTGCATACAAGGCCTGATTGTTGTTTGCTATCTGATAGAGCATGGAGGGCGAAATCTTCGACCTGAGAGACAAAGTTTCAAACCTGCAGGTCTTCCCACAACCGCTCGATCATCCCCGTGTAAATGATTTTCGCAGGACGCGCTCAACAAAGCTCAGCATGTGGAGCACATGTTGAGGGAGGAGGAGCGGCTGCTGCGCAAGCAGATCGAGGTCTGTCGGTTGAGCCACTCAGTCCGCCGGGCTCACTTGTCGTTGCAGTCGTTACACCTGCAACTGAACGAGTTCGACTATCGGAGGGGAGACGCTGCGATGGACAGCAATGACGTACGTCCCTCTCGCGCACACGACGAGCTGACGGCTGGCTGCAGTATCGCTTCTCCAACAGGTTCGGGGCGCAGGAGGGGATGCAAGTCATCGTAGCTCAAGCAGAAGGTCCCGCGTTGGAGAGGGAGGAGGAGGACCGGGCAAGAGCGAGCAAGCAAGAGGATGGGGAGGGGGAGGTGAGGAGGACCGAGGTCTCCGACCCCAAGGAGGGGCAGGCTGTTCAGACGCCTGGAAGTCTAATCATGGAGGAATCGATCTTTACACTGAAGAGCCCAGCGACCAAACGGGCGTCCTCGTCAGACTCGGGCAAGGAGAACTTGGGTGAGGCTGCGGGAGACGGGAAGGACCAGGAGGTCACGTCGGTGTTCTCGGGGCACGTGGAGAAGTGGGACAACGAGGCTGACAAGCTGAGGTCTATCTTGAGCGAGAGCGGGGAAGATACGAACAATGCAGTTCCGGACTTGAAGAGCGCCGTCCAGCAGGCAGTGCAGCAGGTAGCTGAAGTTTGCGCTTCCCCTTCCTGTGCTGGGGGTGATGGTGATGCAGGCACTGGCGGAAGCTGAGGAGAGGATGGAGGACGAGAGGAGGCAAGAGAAAAACGTTGCTGCTCTGACTCTCTGACATGCTGCCAACCGCCAGGGCGTACAGGCAGCACCTGGACAACGTGCGAGAAGAGTTGCAGGAGAGTGAGAAGTTCCGAAATTTGCTCATGAGACAGGTGAAGGATTTCATTCTTCTCCCTCCAGCTGTCATTCTCTTCTCCTTCCTCCTCTCCTCTCGCTTCTCATCTCCTCATCTCTATCGCAACTGCCCACTACCACTTCTCTTCTCCCTTCCCTTCTCCTTCCCTTCTCCCCGGCTCTCCTCCCCTCCATCCCATTCTGTACCTTCTCTTCCATCTTCCTCCTCTTCCTCCTCTCTGTCCATCTCCTCATCGCCAGAGCTTCTCTCCTCGCTCTGCCTCTGCTCCCTCCTTCATATTCCTCCCGCTGATCTCCTTGCAGTCCGAGCTGCTGAAGGAGCAGCTGAGGGAGAGCAAGTTGGCCATTGAACGGTCCAAGCAGGTGAAGCAGGATCTCAAAATCGTGTACCCCCAGTCCTTGTTACCTTTCTCAGCTACCTGAAAGTTTGTTCCTGGTGTTGATCTTGTCGGTTCTTGTTTCCTTTGTGTTCCTCACATCCACCCCACAACCTCTGGTCCCTGTTGTAATGGCTCCCCTTCTCTCTCTCCCCTCCTCCCTTCCCTTCTCCACTCCTCTCCTCTCCTCTCCTCTCCTCTCCACTCCTCTCCTCTCCTCTCCTCTCCTCTCCTCTCCTCTCCTCTCCTCTCCTCTCCTCTCCTCTCCTCTTCTCTCCTCTCCTCTCCTCTCCACATGTCTCAGAACCCTCTGCTGCTGCCTTCCTCTAACCCCCTCCTACTCTTTCGCCCGATTCCTCCTCCTTCTAACTCGCCCCTGCAGTCTCATCACGTTGAATACCTCAAGAACATCACGGTCAAATACCTCGAGTCAAACGATCCCACCTTGCTCCGAGCTCTTGGCTCAGCCTTGAGCATAAGGTACCCTAGCCCTCCTCCTCCTCCTTCCCGCTCTTCCCTCTCTCAACCCCCGCTCACCCCGCTCCTCCCTCTCATCATCTACATCTTTCGTTTCGTTCCCTGTGTTGGCAATCTTATCCTCCTTCATACGTCTCCACTCCCTCCCTCCTACATCCCCCCCTCGCTCAACCCTTTTCCTCCTTCGACATGTCTGAGGATCTCCGACTGATGAATTCGACATTCTCACCTTTGCATGTTTGCTGATGCAACTTTGCAGCCCGGAAGAGATGAACAGGATTGAGAAAGGACAGGCGAAAGGGCTCATGTCATGGTTTTCATGACAAGTCAACGGTTTCTTCACTGAGGATTGTACATATGTTTACCGCAAGTTCCATGATCTCTCAATCTTTACTGAGCAGACTGAAAGGATTAGCGAAAATGTTATCACGACTGCTTCTGATGCTCAACAGCACCTGCGGCCAGCAATGCTTGTTGAACATCTCAATCTCTTGAATTAGCAAGAGAATTCCTCAGTCAGCAGCGAAGCGCCTCTCGGCACTTTTTATGCATGCTGCACGTCAATGGTGGAGCCGTCGTTCCATAACATCATCGTTATCGTCGTCGTCTGCAGACTTCCAGCTCAAGTCCTGCTACACAGCTGCCTTGACTTTCTCAGCAACCTCGTCGATGTCAAGTGCCTGCTCCTAACGTCAAGACGCAATTGGCTCCAGAGCTCCGGGTCACCTTGAGCTTGGTGAAGGGTCTCGGCATGTCGAGCAAGGAGACGATCTGAGGGGAGACAGTCGTGAGAGGGAAGTGCGGTATGCCATGGGAAGAAACGATGAGCGAGAAAGAATCGCAAGGGGAGGAGAGGCAATACGTGTCACAGCTGAGAGAGTAGAAGAGAGACTAGATAAGAAGGAAAGAATGAGAAAATGTGGACAAGATAAGGAGAGGAGAATCAGAAGGAGAGAACAAGAAGGAGATATATGCCGGGAATAAGAACAAGATAACATCAAGGAGAGAAAAAGGAGATCACAATGGTACGGATTTTCGGTCGTGAAGGGGTCAAATGAGAACAACCTTGTCTCCGTTGCCCAGACGAACCTCGAAGCATCCCTTCCTCGGTTTCTCTGGATTGATTTCAACAGAGATCTTCGCCTCCTTCAGGAGTTTCTCTAGTTTGGCTGGACATCACGGTAAGAAAATGGAGAGAAATGAAAGGGGGTACGTGGGTGAGGAGAAGAGAGGGATACAGGGGATAAGTGAGAGAGTGAGAGGAGAGAAGAAGAAACTGAAAGAGAGGACAAGAAGTTAATGACTCAAATACCCGCTCTTGTCTTGAATGCTCCTCAGCTTTTACTGCACAACGTTTCATCTCCGTGTCCACTAGGAAAGATCAGAAATCTCACCAGTGCTCGATGATGACTGAGTTAGAAGCAGCAGAGGAGGATGCAGCCTCTTCTCCCTTCTCAACCTTCTCCACCTTCTCGTCCTTCTCCACCTTCGCCGCCTTCTTCGACGCCTTTCCCTCCCCTCCAGCGCTCTTTCGCTTTCCCGCCATGCTTCTTTATGAGTCCTCTAAGCGATTCCCCAAGTCTCACTACTGAGTGGCCAGCTCAGTGCAACGAGCCTCGGAGTCACGCAGCCGCGGCCGCGGCCCGGGCCCACTCAGCCTGTGCACCTGGCGTGGCCACGGTGCGCCGGGACCCGGCCCCCTCTGGCAGGCCGCCGGCTACCGTGCCGGGCCCGGCCCGGGGCTGCAGGCTGGGTCGTGTCCGGGCCGGGGTCACCGTACTGCCCCGCCGCGTGCGGTGCCCGGCCCCGCGGCTCCGAGCCATGACCTCCCGGTAAGTTAGCAGTCACTTCCGAAGTTCAACACTTCCCTCTAAGTTGTTCGTTATTTAAACTTGAACCGTCCGATCACGACAACTTAGAGGGAACACTTCCCTCTAAGCCCAGTGACGGTCACCGCCGCCAGCCACTGAGTGGCACGGCACCGGGGGTACGGTAACTTCCTTCCGACAAGTCACAGTGTCGTGATCGGACGGTTCAAGTTTTTTAATTTACTTTAATGAATGAGCCGTGGCAAACGCCACTCATCTATTTAGATTAAGTTATCCGAAGACAATCAATGTTTCAACTTGAAGTGTATCTATCATCCAAACCAGTCACTCTGTTAAATTACTTATGATTAGTTGAGCCCCCCGTTAGTCAGTAAGCACGGTGCACGAGGACCCAGCTGCGGCTCCGACTCTCAGGCTCTTAGGTTGCTCCGGGCCACAGACTTCAATCTGCTTCAGTGCGTGCCCTTTCTCAGCTTCGATTCGCGCCACCTCCGTCACTCAGTAGTCCGGGGCTTCTTAGTGTCTGACGGCTGTGAACTTTTATCACCTGACAAGAACTTGACGATCTCGTCGGCATTGGGAACATTGTGCGTCTTCGCCAGGTCCTGTGCTGTTTGCTCTTTGGTATCCTTGGCGTCTTTCCTCGCGTTCAAATTCTCCACGAGGTATTTGATCACGTCCAGATTTCCTCGCGCCACCGCAAGCATCAGGGGAGTGTACTTCTGCACTCCAACTGTGAAGTTGACATCTTTTGCTTCAGTACTGGCTTCATTCTTCTCCCACTCCTTCAACTCCTCGAGGCTGCGCTGGAAGATAGCCTTAAGAAGGGACTTGCGTCGATTTCCCATCGTATCTTCTTTCTCTCCTCCTCCTGATCGCATAGGACTTTTCTGGTCGTTCGAACCAGAGATTCCTCGCATGACTGGTCCTCCAGTTACAGGAGCGGCACCATTTCCTCCTCGAGTACGAGAAGCCCCTTCAAGTTGGTGAGTCAGTCAGAGGTCAAAACAGCAACACTCGGCAACTTCCAAACTTACTTTCTACAAGTTCCGAGGACTGCGCCAACAGTTCTTCGATTGTTTTTTCATCTGGTTCATCCCCTGACAGATACGTTTGAAATATGTCCTGGTCTGAACGGTTTCCGTTGCCATCAGGTGCTTGCGCCATCTCGCTTCTCTACCGTAGCTGGTAGTGTACCGTTGCCCAGCTGTCAAAAATCTCAGACCTCCTGCACTGCACTAGTTCTACTACGTCCTCATACACGTTACTTGTACTGCATCCTCATACTTTGATACTTCTACTACATCATAATGCATGACAATACTTCCTTTCCATCCTCATATTTGATACTTCTACTACATTCTCATGCTTGATACTTCTACTACTCTCATATAATATCGTCCATCTATGGTATCTTTATTCTTTTCTCTTCACTGCAAGGCAGTGCACAAACAAATCAAACAATACATCATCAGCATACTGTAAACACTTCATTGTCATACCAATACTACATCATCGTCACCATACAAACACTAGTCGCACTGGTTGTCTTGTAGGTATCAGCTGGGCACTTGCCGCTGGGCACTAGCCGCATTATATTAGCGGCCGCATTCCAACTGTTTAGCTCGGAGATTCACCACCCCTACCACCCATCCTAAAGCCACCCCAACTACCCGTCCTCAAGGAATTCCTTGCTAAAAAGAACTTTTACGAAAGGGGGTAGGGTAGTTGTAAAGGGGGGCATGGGTGGGTGCGGGATGGGGTTGTGTGCTATGATCGAAGGGGTGGGGGTGTTACCGGGCCTTACAGGTGAGGAGGTAGGGGTGCTTTCTTCCCACCTAACTAAGTGAGTAAAGATATTAGTCAACTCAAGTCAAACCTTCAACGAGTGCACTCCGAGGATCCCGGCCGCCCGAGGCCCCGGGGCCCCGGGCCGGGGTGGGCGGCGGGCAGGGAGCGGCCCTAGGACCTTGGGATAGTAGCAGGTCACCTAGTACTAGCAGCCTATGGTGATACCGTAACTATCGTAGTTACAGCCGATCGTACGGTTGCAGCCGCCGCCTCAAGTCAGCGACTGCCAACGCATGGGAGAGCCGCAGAACGCGACTCCGCCGCGCCGAGCATGGCGAGCATCCTAGCCAGCCCCCGGGGGCCCGGCTCGACCTGCACCCCCTGCGACTCATCCTGCTCCATGGCGGCGACACGCCCTCCCGCCCTGGAGGCCAGGAAACCCCATAAGTGGAGCGAGGAGAGGAGAGACAAGCACGGAGAACAAGATCGACATAGTCTCGCTCTTCCGTACGGTCAAGGCGGACCAGATCGAGAGCCTAGTAAGGAGTACATGCTTGCTAGCAAGGAGTACATGCTTGCTAGCAAGGAGTACATGCTTGCTAGCAAGGAGTACATGCTTGCTAGCAAGGAGAACATGCTTGCTGCTGTCTACCCGCTGCCTCCCCCTCCCCTGCCCCCGTGTGTCGATCATGTCAGGGCGTCACAGCAGCTCCCGCGAGCGGAAGGCGTGCTAGACAGCGCAGAGCAAGCTCGTGTAGGCGACAGCAGGAGAGAGGAAGAGCGAGGAAGAGCGAGGGAGAGCGAGGGTTTGGGGCAGAAGCTGAGAGCTTGCTTGACAGTTCAAAGGCCGGGGAACTACAGGAAGGTCGAGGAGGAAGAGGAAGCAAGGCTTGCGCTGATCGGAGGAAGAGGAGGAAGAGGGAGCAAGGCTTGCGCTGATCGGACAATGTGAGTGGGATCGGGCGAGCGGGGGGAGGGAGGAAGTGAGAGGGGAAGGGAGTGAGGAGGGGCGAGAGAAAGGCAAGAGAAAGGAGATCAGAAGGACAATGACGGATCTTCATAAGGGATATTGGGAGGGAACTGAAGGAAGGGAAGAGCTACAGGAAACAATGATGTTGTTCTTGCTGCTTTGGGTTTATGTTGAGAAAACTTTTCTCACATGATCTATCTGTGCTCGTACAAGATCTCCAAGTGGTTGGTGATTCGTTTCAAGGTCCTGAAGAGCACGACATTAGCTCGTAGTTGTGATGATTGGATGTCTTACCGTAATGATTGTTTCCGAAGCCTCTTTGTCTCTCGCTCTCACTGCAGCCTGTGTGGAGGAAGTCAACTGATAAGGTGGGGAGAACGATGATGGGAGTGAGGAGCAGAAGTAGAGAAGACGGAACGAGACAGGAGAAAGAGGTACAAGCTGTGGAGGGGGGAGGAGGCGGGGAGCCACAGAGTAGCAGGGGGGGAGATGGAGGGCAAAGCGGAGGATTAAAGGTAGGATGGAAAGAGAAGAGTGAAGGAGACGAGGACGAGAGACGGAGGAGAGGACGGGGCAGGAGGAGAGGAGAGGAGAGGGGAGGAGAGGGGAGGAGACGAGGGGAGGGGAGGGGAGAGAAGAGGACAGGACAGGACAGAAGATAAGGAGACCAGGAGAGAAGAGCAGAGAGTAAGAAGCAACCTTTAGGGCAGCAGAAAGAACGAACTTGTTCAGCGGAATTTTATCTTCCTTTGCTTGCTGCAGAAATTTCAGCGCCTCCTCGCTCATTCTCGCAGCCTTGTAGAAGTCCTGAAGTGACGGTCAGAGGCAGAGGAGAGGAAGAGAAGGATCAGGAGCAGGAGCAGGAGCAGGAGCAGGAGCAGGAGCAGGAGCAGGAGCGGGAGCAGGAGCGGGAGCAGGAGCAGGAGAGGAGCAGGAGCAGGAGGTAGAGGAGTTAGCAGGAGGAGCAGGAGGTAGAGGAGTTAGCAGGAGACTGCATGAAACAAAGACAAGGTACGAAAAGACGGCAGGGTACGAGGCAGAGAAGAAGGACGAGGAGCTTACGAAGACAGCCATCATCATGTTCGAAGTTACTATGTTCTTTTCCTGGCCTCTTCGATGGTTTGCGAGACCTGAAGAGAGAAGATTTCAACATGTGAAGGCATTCAAACATCAGAAGGAATATGAAAATGTGTAGAATTATGACCATGTCATGGAATGTCAATATTCGGAGGAATATTGATATGTGGGTTTGAGAGTATTGTGACAACTTGAAACGATTGTAACAACAAAAGAAGAAGAGGCGTCGAAGGTTGAAACGGACTCACATGCTCAATGTCTTCTTGAATCGGATTTCTTGACAATGTGTCGATGCAAGATGTGCAGATTACGCCTGTTTTCTCGACCCCCTTTCATGACCAGTGAGCTGACGGAAGATGGACAAAAAGGGGAAGAATCATAGAAAAATAACAAGAAATTGGAACGATCGTGAAGATGCACAGGAATAGACAGGAAATAAGAACAGGGATAGAGGAAATGCACCAAAGACGAAAACCGAACAAGAAAGGGATAGGTTGATGAGATACGATCGAGAAAGAACCAGTCTTGTGTCAAACCAAAGATAAACAACAACTTACTGCTTTCTCCATCAATTTCTCAATGATTTTGACCTCCGCAGTTGTTAGGGCACATTGAAGAAGATTGGCGAAAGTCTCTTCGTCCGGTTGGATCTGGGAAAAACATGTTGTTATCTTGTTGTACGCCAATCATTCCAGTCGTCGTCGTCGTCATCAACATCGTTATCTCCATCATCATCATCAGCCGTAGCAACAACAAACAATAACAAACAACAAACAAACATAAACAAACAACAACAACAACAACAACAACAACAACAACAACAACAACAACAACAACAACAACAACAACAACAACAACAACAACCCCATTATCATATCATCATCATCATCGTCTTCATCATCCTTATCATCATCGTCATCGTCATCGTCATCGTCATCGTCATCGTCATCGTCATCGTCATTATCATCATCGTCTTCATCGTCATTATCATCATTCAAAACTACTCACTTGACCATCTCCCTCTGCATCCGAACAACAAGTCCGAGGGCACGTCTATGGTAGTCGACAACTTTTCCTCCTCTCACAGCAGAATTCTCATATGCCCTGAACAAACATCTTCAGCATCTCTCTGCTTCTTGTTGAGATGTACTTCAAGACTGTCATGTAGGACTGAAAGTCCGGCATGCGACCCCCGGTTCTCATCCTGTCCAGGACCTGAATAAGGCATTAGGCGAAGGAAGGGGAGAGGAGGAGAGGAGGAGTGGAGAGGAGAGGAGAGGAGAGGAGAGGAGAGGAGAGGAGAGGAGAGGAGAGGAGAGGAGAGGAGAGGAGAGGAGAGGAGAGGAGAGGAGAGGAGAGGAGAGGAGAGGAGGGGAATTCTTCAATCCCACCTTCTCTGCCTCCAAGACATAAACAGATCCATTCCTGCATCGTTCTATCAGAGAGGAAGAGATTCTACAGCAAGGAAACATCGGACCTTGCACAAATAGCGTTCGAGTACGCCTCCATGAGAGTTTTGTAGCATGCCAGGTCAAAAGGAGTTCTTGACTGTTTAAGAACAATAGAGAGGAAAGAGTTTTCATCGTCAGTTTGTTCTTCTCAATCGTGATTGCACTTGAATCACCTTCTCCATCATCTTCCAGACCTCGTTCACTGCATATAGATGTCACATGACAGTGATGAAGCCATTTTTAGAATCGACGAGATCATTCAGACATAAGAATCTTTCGAAACCTCCACAAGATTATCTTCACAGTGACACGAGAAAACATTTGTAGGCATCATCTTCAGCAACATCGTCTCAAGGAGCCACAACTTTTCAATCACAGTTGATCGCTCCTCCCGCCATTCTCTTTACACATCTTACCATGACCAATCGTCTCCTTCCCTCCTAACTTGGCGGCTAGAGCCATGGCGGACAGGCAAGCATGAAACGCCCGGCGGTCAGGGGAGACCTGATCTTGTTTCATGCTCATCAAGTGCTTCAGTGCAAACTTGCTCATGTTGGCTCCTCTCATCTCTTCATTGAACACGTGCTTCTGCAGTCCGATTCCGATGAGAGCATGGAAGACTGTCGTGTACATGCGCACGTCAAGCTTCACAGCCTTGGATTTTTTGATGCTCCCAAACATCTCGATCGCCTCCTTTGCAAATTTCTCCCCATCCTCCTCCTTCTTCGCAGCTCCCGCCATGATGGACAGGAAGGTTGTGTACGTTGACGCGTCAGGCTGTAAGTTCAGACTGCTCATCTGCTCCATCACGACCCTCGCACACTTCAAACCTTCTCCTCCTCCCTGCAGAGAATGGATTGCAACCAGAGCTGTGTTGAGACTTGCGAGGTTTGGACTGACGCCAAACTTCTTCATCTCCTCCAACACCTCCATAACTCCCTGACAACTTCTCGCAGCTTTCATCCTTGCCGAGAAGACAAACACGTCAGGAGTGAAGCTTCCCGTCTCATACTCCTTCTCGACCTCCCTCATACGATCCAGATTGTTCGACTTTGCGCAGACGTTGATCAGAGCATTGAGCGTTTGCTGGTTTACAGGAAGACCTCGCTTCTTCATCTCATCGAACAATCTGAACGACTGGTCAATCATCTCGTCATCGCCCTCCTTCGCTGCTCTCGCGCACATGCTGATAAGGATGTTGTAAGTCTGCTCGTTCGGCTCAACCTTGTTCCTCCTCATGCTCCCTAGGAAATCCAGTCCGACCTGGATCCATGGATTCCTTGAGGAGGAGGAGGAGGAGGAGGAGGAGGAGGAGGAGGAGATGGTAGTTGTGGACTTCTTTCTGTCCTTACCATCCTTCCTCCTCAGCACGATCACCTTCTTGCCCTCCTCTCCATCTTCCACCTCAAACCTTGCAGACTGTGCAAGTGCCTTCCACGTCGACTGCTTCTTCCCATCAGTGTACGTGTAGTTGTGGATAGACGCATTTGGGAACATCGTCCTCCATCGGCTCGCGAACTCCGTACTGTCCACCTTGCCCCCACTGTAGGACACGACCTTCACTGCCATGTCGATGAAGTCTCTCCTCTCCTCTGTGTCGTTCCTCACCGGGCAAGGTCTCATCACCCCTCCAGCTGCTGCTGAGCAAGCTGACAGCACCTGGTTGTACAAGTCCACGTCTGGACTGATTCCCACCTGCTCCATCTTTGACAGCACCTCCTTCGCATGCACCATCCCCAGCAGGTCCCCGGACTGCGCTGCTCTCACGCACATGACCAGCATGGCGTCGTAGGCGGAGGAGGACAGCGATACCTTCGCCGTCCCGCTCATACTCCTTACGTACTCCTCCACCTCGATGCCCAGCATCGCCGCCATCTCCAGGGCCTCCTTGTCAAACTGCTTCTCCGGGTCCTTGAGCTGCTCGATCTGCTCCCATCTCCAGATAGGATCCCACCACCTGCTATGCTTCAGCGCCTCCTTCTGCTCTGACTGAAGCTTCAGCCCCATCTGAACTGCTAAGGGAGGAGGTGGCACCCTGCACGAATGGCTGGCGACATGACGGATGATGCTGCGAGGATGCCCATGGAGAGCCTGGGGGAAGGGAAGGAGAGAAGGAGCGGGAGAGAAAGCCGCAGCATGGAGGAAGCTTCTCGTCCCGTCCCCAGTTTGCCAGAGGAAGGGGAAGAGGAGGAGGATTGGGTGAATACGCCCCATCGTTCTCCAGCTAACTCCTGCAAACAAACAGAGAGACGCAAGAAAAAGTCAGGCAACGACATGAAGCAGCAATGTAGTTCCAACATGCCCTCTGACATGAACTCATAAGGAGCCAACAGAACACAAGTGATCGAACTCTTCGTCAACATGGACTATCGGCTCCTTCCAGCGCAAAGGACTCAAGGTTGCAAAGATCTACGGGTGCACGTCATCGAAGAGAGCGATGCATGCTCATCAGCTTCTTCTGATATCTGTCGTACTCTTCAACTGACCCCTCCTCGCATCCTCCGTACACCTCCCTCCCTCCCTCAGGTCGCTTGTCTCCCCATGGCGGCCGCCGAATTCCAAATTCCTTCAGTCAACTCAGTGACTAAAATTTCCACATAGTAAATCCTGGGGACAGCAAAGACTCACTAGGCCCGCCAGCCACTGTCGTCTGGGAAAGCTCCGTAGCCTACCGTAGTAGTAGTACTAGCCTCATACTAATCCTGCCGGGACCGAGTCCCCGAGTAAAGATCACCGGGTGGCGACATCAGAGTCTCATTAAAGTTTACTCAAACTTGAGTTAAGTTAAATCAATCAGAACGAGAACCGTGACGGATGATTGTAATCGGTGGCAGCGGGCCGCCGGACCTGACATTTTGATTGGTCTGTTTTGGGCTGTATGCTTTCCCGTGGGGGGGTTGTTCTGCTTTCTAGGTAGATTTGGGGGTGGCGTGTTTGAGAATCTGAAATAGGGTTCGAATTCAGCTTTATAATTCTCATTTTGTTTTCCAATAAGATATTTTAGACTGTATTGTGTAATGGTTGAGTATAAACAGAGAAGTAGGGCTACACCCCACAAGTTACAGTCAGATCGTGGGGTAGTCTACCAACTTAGTTGTAAAGCCTTCTTGTGGTACAAATTTATAAACAAGTTTGAAACTCCCCCTACACGCCATGAGCCTCCCCTTGCACGGGGCACGTCGCACCGCTCTGTACTGCCCTAACGATGGCTCGCAAACAGCAAGCCCGCGGCAGCGTGTGCAGATGTCAGATGTTCACCGAACATACTCATGGGAAATTCCTGAGGTGTAGAGATGATGATCCTTGAGGAGTGCTTGGTAGAGCTCGTGAATCTCACGAAAAATCGTTTGGTAAGCGAAGAGCATGAATAATACAAGTGAAAACACCATCACAGGGTTACATTGCAATCGAAACCAAAGCGTAAAATACCCTAAGCTATCTGTGATGCATGACAGGGAAACTGAGTTGGAGTAAATGGATGGAGGTTACACACAAGACGACAGGGAATCATCATCAGATGGTGACTGGATTGTTCAAAAGCTGTACGGTCACCTGTGAGCTCAAGAACACATATCTGCACGACTATGTCTGATAGTCTCGCAAGAAGATGCCAATAAATAATGCACGGTGCATTTTAGCAGTGAGCTGCTCGACTGCTTGAAACAACCATGATCCGCAGTGCTGTCGAATGATGTCGGACAAGCAAGTCCCGTGGTTCGTGAAGGATTCTTCATCTGATTTTCAAGGACGTGTTTGAACGATGAAACATTTTGCAAATCACCAAGGCCTAGGTCATTTCATCACATGATGCATCATGTGAATATTACTGGTGTGAACTTGCATCGGATTTTGTTCATCAATGAGCCGCTGCCAAGCAGATGATCTCAACGCAAACATGAGCACTTTTGAAGATGCCAATATTCCAGGCCGTAGAGCATGTATGATGTGGCCACATGTCACATGCTTCTTGGTTCACATAGATACACCTTCGCAAGGCAAAAGATGGAACGTGTTCTTGATTACAAGGAGGTCGGTTGTGCTTTTACCCTGATTGAAACTCTTCTAATAAAGATGTGATACCCTGGATGTGGAATTCTATTTATTGATTCACAGCGTTTGTGATCCTTTTACAATCACCGAGTGCTTGTTCTGTTGAACAAGGCACTCCTCTGTAGTGCCACATGCGACAAGAACTCTACAACTGCACGGCAGCATTGCGAACCGTCAAAACAAGGCAGGATTGATTCGAAGAACATCTCATTTATTTTTATTGATGCTCAAATTTATCTGCACATTGTTTCATTTCTGACTAGGTTTCTGAAGCGTTGTGGAAACATCATGACTGAGGAAGAAATCCAAGTGCAGAAAAATCATCCTACGTCATGAAACATGGAAATGCAATGGTCAATGCACTTGATCATGGATATAGTGATTCATGATCAACAACAATTCTCTACAGTAATCTATGCGAGCAGGTGAAGTCATCCTTTTTGCAAACGTCTCTTCATGCACCGTTGAACTGTTGAGTGCGTGTGAGCCTGTCCTCTGTAGAAAAGTGAAGTGCATGAATCCTGACCGTAAGACTAGAAGAATTGAAAGTGAGCGATGACATGAGAACATATTGTTAGACAGAAAAGTCGCTCAAGGTACAGTTGAATACAAATTTCTCACAAATCATGCATTTGAGCGCAACGTGCAACGCACTGCAATTTGAAAGAAGGGTCAATCAGAGTTGATTCTGTTCAATGGTGTATCCATTATTAGTTCCTTACCTGTTCATAAAAATGTCATCATGTCTTCGAAGCATATTTGCAAGTACACTCGCGGATTGTATGAACCAAGGGCACATATTACATTACACGCTGGATGATTCAAACCTTGGCCCAACCTGCAGAGTTGAGAAAGAAGCTCGATCATCTCTTACAGATGTGATATGAGATCTTCATCTCATTCCTATCTCAGTTGGGTTGGATTCGAAGTCTCTCAATATCAAGGTTCATCCTCGCGAGTCAGGAAGGCACCATTTCATCGCCTCTTGCTCGTCCAGGGAGAGGGGGCTTGGGGAATGAGAAAAGGGGGCTACCCCCCACCCCCTATTACACAGTTTCAAATTGTTTCAAAGGTGGGTGGTTGAGGGTGCTCCATGCCTACCCCACCCCCCAACAACAGTCAAATGGAGGGGTTCTCGGAAGTCGAAGTTCCGACCAGTTTGGCCCTCATTTTGTACCATGTAAGAGCTGCAATTTTAAGTTGGTACCACAGATACTCCTAAAATGCGTACTTTTACATTGGTTTGGCGTGGTGAGGTGTCCACGCCACCAAATTCAAATCACCCTACCCCTCTTTGGCCCTGCACAGCAACGATTTTCATGAGAGCGACTACCCTCCCACATGACTTCTCAAAGGAGGGTACTCCCAATTGGCATGGAATGAAGGGACCCCTCAGGTCCTTCGAAAAAAAAAAAATATTGCCAATTTTGCCTATGAGCGCCCGGCCGGAAAAGCAACGCTATGGAGAGCGCCGGGCCCGGCTTGGCTCCGGGAGGAGAACGGAGCCCAGTGAGTCAGTTCGGATGAGGCTCACTGCGGCTTGCCGTTGTCAGATCGGGTCGGACCGTGCCAGTTCACAGTCACTCGGTCCGTCCGATCACCGCCGCACGCCGGTGAGCCTCGGAGACTTGGCTTGAACCGTGACCGGGGCCGACAATGATCCGGACCGATCGGAGCCGCGGAGCGCGGCCGCCGGGCCCGGGCCGCCGGGCCGGGCGACCGTGACGGTGAGCACTGACCGTATCGGACGGGTCCGGTCCGATCCGGGACCGTCTCGGAAGCGGACTACCGGATACGGCGGGCCCCAGAGCACTATAGCCCAGTACCCCCTCATCATCACCCCATCTGCGACCGTCCCCTACCCCTACCCTTCGAGCTGTAGAACTGAAAATTTTCAAGGAGGCGTGCGAAACGACAATAACGATGGAGGAGGGAGGAGGGAGGGAGGAGGGAGAGAAGGAAAGTCGAGGGAGGGAAGGAGGGAGAGGAACTAAGAACGAGTCAAGAGGGAAGGATAGAGGAAGAGTTTCGAGGAAGAGGACGGGTAACTGCTGAAATTTTGAGTGTTAACGTAAATAATGTACAGAGTGTGAGGACGTACGGGGTCAAATAGTTGTAGGGGAAGACTCGATGACGGCAAAGTAGGGGGACAGAAAGGAGATGAAACTCTGAGTTCACTATCGCACCATCATGATAGATACGCGCCTGCAACCACAGCTGTTGTGATTCCTGCTCTGACCCACGTCCTGTTGTAGGACCAGAAGTGTTGTGGAGGGTTTGGAGTGAGAGGAGAGCTGGTCGTTATGAATCACGTCGAGCTGAACCCCGACGATGCTTGCATGATCAAGTTGACCTCCGGGCATGCAGTAGATGCAAGATACATCGAGTGTCTGATTCAAGATGTTATACCGGCAGTAGAGCACGCGGTGGTGTTTGGACACAACAGCCCGTTCATGGTTGTTGTCTTCACGCTCAAGCTCGACCCCGAGCTGGGAGGGAGACTCTTGGGAGAGGACGCAATGCACATGAGCGAACAGTTCGGCAGCAAGGCAAACACGGTCTTCACTGCGAGGAACTGTCCGCAATTCTGCAATGGGATGCGGGATGTTTTCAGGATGATCAACGTGGCTCTGAAGCAGCACTGTGATGATGAGAACTTCAAGATCAGGAGAGCCTGTCTGCTGCTGAGCAAGCTGAACCAGGAGGATGGGATGATCAAGAGCGACGGGAGCTACAACAGGCAGCAGATCCTTAGGAAGCACTCCCATCTCATCAACAGCATGCTCGATGTACAGGCTGCGAGGAACGTGATTGATGTGACACCTTGCGATGACGACGAGACATGCGATCATGGGCTGAAGTTGCGATCTTATGAAGATTGGTTGAAGTTCGAACAAGCAGGTGCGCGAGATTCGGTTTCTGCTCTCCGTGTGAACTTGTTTTCATGTCCCGTCTGCATGTTTCGATTTTCACTTGGGGTTTTCAAGTTTTGTGCTCGATTTCTTTCCTCTCGACCCCTGTTGTCTTGAATCACGTCCTGCCCTTGACTTCTCCTTGACTCCTCCTTCGTTTCCCTTCCTCAATCTTCTCGCTGTCTCGTTTCCTTCCCCTCCTTCTCTCTTCTGCTGATCGCCTACCTCCTCGCCTGCTCTCTCACCTTGGAACTTTCAGAGAGGAAAGACTGGTCCGTGAAGAAGAGAGGTAGACATCGAGATCACGAGACTTGATGTGTTGACACGTATTCTTGACTTCAGCTTCGATGATTGTCATCGACAAGAAGGGACATGTAAGACCTGTGTTTAGAATTCAAGTCTCCTGCCTGATCCAACTCGTGGCGTAGTTCACTCAGTTTGGAAAAATTCTGCGGAGGGGGAAGGATGAATTTGAAAGGTGGGCACGACATGTATTGTTGATGTTTGTATCTCTCCCCTGAACTGAAGACTAGCAGAACTGAAGACGAGATCGACGACAAAGAAATGTCAGTTTGCGATACCTTGTTCCTGCCCTGTTTGTTCTTTGGATGACGTCATCGTTTTGTTTTCAGATGTTCACCTGCAAATGAAGTGAGACACTTGAGGTTCTCGGACGAGATTCGGCAAGAGACAATCTCATCAGCAACTGACAGCCATGTGGGGGGCAAGACGAAGGAAGAGAAGGATGTAAGGAAGATCAGCATGAAAGAAGGGGATGGAAGGAAAACAATGAAGATGGTAGAGCAAGAGAGAGGAAAGGCTTCAAATGATCGCAAGGATGCTAGATCAGCTCCTGTTGTCCTCAAAGTTGCTCCTACTGCCCTCCCTGCTTCTCATGAAAGAATGCAACGACCTGAATCAGCAGGAGCAGGAGCAGGAGCAGGAGCAGGAGCAGGAGCAGGAGCAGGAGCAGGAGATGTACATGCTACCTGCCTTCCTCCTCGTCCTCCTCTTCATCAAGCTTTGCGGAACATTCCTGCTTCATTCGAGAAGAGCCGAGAAGGGGAGAAGGGAAAGTCTCTCATCTCCCTTGGCACAGAAGAGGAGGAGCAGGAACAAACAAAACCACCCGCTGCTCCTCGCGGAACAGCAGCAGCAGCAGAAGAAGAAGAAGCAGCAGCAGCAGCAGCAGAAGCAGCAGCTCCTGCTCCTCCTCCTCCTCCCACACCTGCGGCCATAGTGGTGAAGGCGCTTCAAGACAAACAAGGGGAACAAGAGGCAGGGCGGACAGAGGAAGGAGGAGACGAGGAGAAAGCTGCGGTACAGCTCACAGGAGAACACATCGGAGCAGCAGCTCCAGCTCCAGCTCCAGCTCCAGCTCCAGCAGCAAGCAAAGCAGAGGCAACAGGAGCAGCGGCAGCAAGAGCAGGAGCCGAGCTGTCACCTACGACCGTTGCTTTCTGGCGTCATGTACAACTGCAGAGCTGCGCCGAAGACGACAAGACGGCAAGAGTCTTGATTGAGAACGAGATGGTATGATGATGTTGATGCTTGTACGTATGATGAGAACGATTAGAACAGAAACAGGATTGATTTAGGCGATGATGGAGATGACGATGATGGAGATGATGATGATGATGATGATGATGATGATGATGATTATGTTGTTGTTGTTGATGATGATGATGGAGATGATGATATTGATAATGACGAAGTTTTTGTTTTAGGACTTCTGGAAGAGAGAGGAAGAGCTGGCAAAGAACCATCAGGCAAGATGATCGACATACGATTATTTGACCATGTGATGGAAAGATTTCATACATGTGACATACATCTGCAGACATCACAGACTCCGATCGAAAAAACTTTAACTCTGACAGGTCAGAAATGTTGTGACATAATGAAAACGATCGAGATTGACGTGATTGCAGAGAAAACAACTCACGACTTGAACTTGAAATCCCATCAGACTCTGAAGGGCAAAGTATGACAAACAATGTTGATCTCTCTCTCTCTCGTCCTGCTCCTTCCCAATCTCTCTCTCCCTCCCTCCCTCCCTCCCTCCCTCCCTCTCTCTCTCTCTCTCCCTCCCTCTCTCTCTCT